TCTCTCTCTCTCTCTCACACACACACACACACACACACTCTCTCTATCTCTCACACACACACACACTCTCTCTCTCTCTCTCTCATACACACACTCTCTCTCTCACTTCTCCTCAGTGTTTCTCCTCTCCGCCGCCGCGTCTCTCCTCACCACAGCAATGTCGTACTCCATCGTCTGCCGCTGCGCCTCGCCGCGCTCCACCTGCGCCCGCAACCGCGCCGCCTGCGCCTCGTACTGCGCCACCTGCAGGACACACCATACACTCGCTCACAAACCACATCAGGAACGACTGCAGCTTTCTAGTGTCAATACAATCATGTGAAGAGAGTTATCCTGGTATCACTGATGTACTATAAGAGTTTTGGTTGATATTGTGAATTAGAATTAATTTTGATATTTTTATAGTTTTTGTCATTTTTATTCAAATATGCTTATAATTTAAATTTTTTCCATTTTAGCTTATTTAATTTTAGTTATTTTAGTACTTCAAGTTAAATAGTTTTTGTTGATATTTTGAATTAGAATTAATTTTTATATTCTGTTTTTACTTTAATTTTTTGTGTGTTTTTGTCATTTTTATTTAAATATGCTTATAATTTATTTTTTTTTCCATTTTAGTTTAGTTATTTTAGCGCTTCAAGAAATGTTATTACAATTTAAAATCACTGTTTTCTATTTTAATATAATTAAAAATATATATATATTTATTCCTGTGATTTCAAAGCTGAATTTTTTTTTAGCATTTTTAGATATTTTAATTCTATTTAATTAGAAGTAATATATAGACTAAAGTAGATTGTAAAAATTGTTGTAGATATCAATTTTCATTTATCTGTACACTTTTTGTACACTATTTTTATTTTTACAGATTTTTGTACACTATTTATTTTCACTATTTTTGATATTTTTAATAAATCAAGTTATTTTTAATGATATAAATGATAATAATTCTACCTATATTTAATATTATAAAACGGAGAGTTCCGGTCCTTGATTCTGATTGGCTGAGCCATGTTCGCTATAACGATAACGATACAGAGGAACGATATCGTTGTGATCACTTTCAAAACGATTTTTTTCCCAGCTGATGAACAATAAAACACTGACAGCCAATCAGAATCCATCCTGTTGTATTGAGCTCAAGAATTTAAAGCGGCAGACGCATGTGCGCTTAGAACAAACAGACGATATCGTTCGCTAGTGTGGACGCTAATATCGTTATCTTTATAGTTATCTTTATAGTTATCGGTCTTGGTGTGAACAGGGCTTTAGGCTTCGCGTCGTGCCTAACAACACCCCTTAGCTGTTATAAATTCACTGTAAACCATGGCTTCTTGTTTTATTTTAATCATATTTAATTAAAAGTAATATAATGACTCAAGAAGTGGTTGATATCACTTTTGAATTGTGGGATATACAGTAAAGTCATGGGTTAATTTCCCAAAGAACGGATGAAATGATCAGAAGTAAACTTTCAATGCAAGTCGCTCTGGATAAAAGCATCTGCCAAATGCATGTGTTTGTTCATTAATCTGCCATCTGACTGACAGCGTGACGTACCTCTTCATTGTGCTTGGAAGCGAAATCCAGTTTCTCCTTTTCCAGCTGGTTAATCTTCCACCTCAGCTCAGCTGTGAGAGTAAAATCCTCTCCCGTCTCTCTCTCAGCGTCCCGTCTGTCTCTCTGCAGCCGATCGATCACGTCCCTGAGCCTGTAAACACACCACACCAGGTCGTACACGTGCATCGCATTAACATGTTAGAAACACGTAACAGAGTCTCAGAGGAACCTGTTGATCTCCTCCGGTGAGTTTTGCGCAGACGGCGCCGCAGCTCGCGGGTGAGACGCCCGCAGGGTGGAGACAGGGTCTTTACGTTTGGTCCGATTGCCATGGCGTGGACGAACGGCGGGCGATTCTGTGGACATGAGGTCAGCGTGACGCTACGCTTCTGAGGTCTGCGAAACAAGAGCATCATTAGACTCTGAATAATCACTTTATTATGAACAAATATGACCCTGGAGCACAAAACCAGTCATAAGGGTCAATTTTGTGAAATTGAGATGTATGCATCATCTGAAAGCTGAATAAATATCTTTCCATTGGTGTATGGTTTGTTAGGATAGGACAATATTTGGCCGAGATACAACTATTTGAAAATCTGGAATCTGAGGGTGCAAAAAAATCTAAATATTGAGAAAATCATCTTTAAAGTTGTTCAAATGAAGTTCTTAGCAATGCATATTACTAATCAAAAATTAAGTTTTGATATATTTACGGTAGGAAATTTACAAAATATCTTCATGGAACATGATCTTTACTTAATATCCTAATGATTTTTGGCAAAAAAGAAAAATGTATAATTTTGACCCATACAATGTATTGTCTATTGCTACAAATATACCCCAGCGACTTAAGACTCCAGGGTCACATATATGGAGGTAACATCATTAATTTATAATGTATTACATGGTATTCTGCATTATAGTTTTAACCAAAGTTACAATATGTTACATCTTAAATTGCTTGCTTGTCATCTGTTGTAATGTAATATACTTTCTAAAGGTATAACAATGTATCTATAAGTATTATGAAGTGTTACATTATTCATGGGCTCATATTAATTCATTATAAGGTGCACTGCAAGGCATAACGTTACATACTTAATGCATTACATACTTTTATAATGCATTATATATAAAGTCTTCAAGAGTTAACAGTTACCAAAAATGTCTATAACAAAATACATGAATGTTTCAGATGGATTTACAATTAACTTTGACAGAGAGAAGGAAAAATAAAGCAATGTAATTTTACATGAGACAAAAAACGGTTTAGAGACGCATTTAATAAATCTGGTTGCGTTTGACAATATGACAAAACTACGTTTTAAATATACGTTACGTAGTTTATTAAATTGCAATAAATAATACGCTCTGTAAAATCTAATCGAACTTAATGAAATTCACGTTGTTTGTTTGTTTGTTTCTAAAAGCGATAAACGGTTAATTCAAAATAACGTGAGTAAAACTAAACACCAACTTACTATTTAAAGGCCTGTGATGCTCGCACATCAGTGTTTGATGAAATATTGTAGGGAAACGAAATAAAAACGTTTAAATCCGTGTTATTATAAAACCCCCTCAGCGTCTGTTTGAATCTGACGCCATGTTTTCTCCTCCGCCCTCACCATGACAACAACCACAAGCGAAAAACAGCGCGAAATATTCCTCAAAACATTTACCGCTGTTTACTTTTAATTAACACGTATATGTTTTTTTGTTGTTTTTTTTAGTTAAATGACTAAATAAAGGGTTAAAATATTCTAAAAGTCTTTACTTTGCCGCTTCCTTCCGCGGAATTTTAACTATTTAACGACCGATATTAACAAACAGTGATGCAATTTTGCTTTTCAGTTTACAAATATAATTTTAAATTCGCGACTAATTACACATAAACTAAAATACGTAGTAATTAAACTTAATATTTAGAAGAAACCTGTTAATAATTATATTTAGAAAAATTACAAATCCACCCACCCCCCCTCTCTCAGTAGTGGTACATTCCTCAGTCGCTCTGAGCGGGAGGCGGATCGAACTATTCCACCTGCGCTGAGGGGAGACACACATTCTCATGCAGGTCTCCAAGTCCTTTCATTGATTGCGTGATAATATTTTTTAATTCGCGTGTTTTCCGTTTTGTTTTTAAATCTGAGAGTTTTTAGAGTGGTCTCTGAGTGAGTAGATATGCAGAAGGGAGTGAAGGTAAGTTTTTACACACACAATATGCTTATGTTAGCCTGAGCTAGCCGAACACGGCTATCGTTATTTTATTTATTTAACGTTACTTCAGTGTCGATAGCAATGAAATGATAATAAAAGCATATTATTGTTTAACAGAAGCAAGTTCATAACCATAAGGCTAATTTTATGAATGTAAGCGGTGTATTTGCTGGTCCAGTGTTTTGTTTATTGTTTGTGTGTGTTGGTGACACATAATGAATGTTGTTTTTATTAATTAACTCTTTATTTCCTCAGATGAAGATGACATCTGATCAGACCACAGATGATTTTATTCCAGGGGACATAGTGTTTGCTAAAATGAAGGGTTATCCTTTCTGGCCTGCCAGGGTGAGTTTATATACAGCAGATATAAGGCATATTCATCATATACAGTAAATGAGGTCAATTAAAATCAGACTGTACATGTGATGTTTTATATGTCACTCAGATTGGTGAAGGAAAATCCCCCCAAAATAAGATCCCCATCTTCTTTTATGGAACACACTCCACGTGAGTAAACTGGAAACACACACACTCACACACACGCACACACACACACACA